TATATATCTTATTAATGTTAATTAAAAAATTAAGTTTAAAAAATATTTATGATTTAAAATTCAAAATTGTGTCATTGAAAATTAATATTATATTAAAAATATTTTTAAAAAATAAAACGTTATAAAATGAATAATAAAATAAAATTTTAAATTTTCCTAAAAAATAAATATTTAAAAATTATTTTGACATAAAAATAGTTATGATTAGAATTATCATATAGTTTATTTTTAGTTTTTAATAATATATATGTGTGTATATAAGTATTTGTGTAAAAGAATATTATATATAAAACTTTGTATAATAAGCCAACAACTTTATTGTAACTTAACTGATAAAGCCGCGCATGCAAGTGCTTAAATACTACCTACTTCTAATCCTTAGTATAAGACCTAGTTGATACATGATCTTTCTGAAATATTTATCTACATTATTAGATTATATATTAGGCAAATTAGTTTGGAAATAAACAATAAATATAACTATTTTTAAATAATTTTTTTAATCTTTTCAAATTAGTTAACTAAGTGAGACATTAAGAAGTAGAAGTAATATAAATTTATATCTCTATTGTTTTGAGGTAAGATATGGTGTGAATTCTATCTGCTTTCTCCCCATGAATGTTTCTCCCCATTCCTTACACATCTCATCCAACTGAAATGCCAATAAACTTGAGTTGACTATGCGTGTCAACCCAAACATAATTGCGGGTTCTATATCCCTGGAGCTCATTTGTTGGTCCAACTTGGTTGGCTTTGGAATGTTCTCATAATTGCCAAGAATTTTTCTATATTTTTAATGCTATCCAACCCAACACACTATCTCGTTTTTCTTATATCTAATCTTCTCCACACCCATATAAGCGTCTGTATCTCTGTTTACTCAGTTATATTTTAATTTAAACATATATTTTAAAATAATCTTTTTAGATTATTATTTTATTTAAGACTATCTACAGACCAGGCAGTTGCAACTTTAAATTCCTATTTCAAAAAAAAAATTTCATAAATCAAACGAGAAGGCAACAGGGTTAATTAGAGAATTTCATAGTTTGAAAAACATCTAGTTTTCTTTTTATTTTTTTTAAAACTCAATTCAGTGTGCGCGCGCGCGCGCGTATGACTGGAACTTGGAAGGAGCAATTTATTAATTTCATCTGGTTTGAAAAGTGCTCGTGTTTTTTCTTCTCTTTCTTTTGATCAAAACCTTATAATGTCACTTGATTTTAATTAAGTCCTTATAGTTATTTCTCTTTTTATGCAGTCCTTATAATTTTACTTAATTTTTAATAAGTCTTTATGGTTTTTGATAGTAAAATGAAAAATCTAGAGAAACATGATTAAAAATTAGATAAAACTACTATATTTGGTTATTAATATGAGAGCTAGTTGAGGGGTTAAATTAATTCTTATTTATAAAATTTTAATCTACTTTGCCTCTTATTTTTATCTAAAGCATTCTTTTATAAAAAAGTTCCGATCAAGGGAAATTATTTCACTGTATATGATTAAAGGGGCAACATAAAAATACGATAATAATTAAAAAAATACTGGGACCTTATATTGAACTTTCCCGCACAAATACATACACACGCTTTACACGACATGTGGATCCCACAAGCCTCTGCTCTCGTAAAGGTCATTTTAGAGCACTTGAGCTCAAGTCTTCCTTTCTTTATCCCCTTTTTTTCTTTTTTAATACGGCAAGCATTAAGCAATAATTGCGGCATGTGTCCTCTGCAAGGAGACAGAGACTTCTTTCATTGGTTAGTTTTTTTATGAGGAATTTCATGCCATAGTTTATTTATGCACTACATAAAACACAGTTTATCGATAACCATTAAGTACAATTAAATTGTTATTTATTATCCCTCCTGTCCCGTCTTGTATATAAGGAATTTTTTTAGGCATGGTCTATTTTTACTTATAAAAGACACTAATAGTCTGTTTAAATGTTTTAGTATCATTTTTTATTTTTGTCTTCATTAATTATTGATTAGATTCGCTATGTTAGTTATCACACTTACAGCCCATTTGGTATGTTGGAATTGATTTTGATGGAAATTAAATGAATAGGAAGATGGATATTGAAATGAAAATTAATATGGAAATAGTGATTAAAATCGTGTTTGGTATGAGTATGAAAATCTAATTTAATTTTTAATTAGTATATATGTTTAAAATGTGTAAATACTAAAATACTTCCAAAATTTAAGTGGAAGAAGACGAAAATGGAGAATAAAGTGAAGACGAATCTAGGAAGAAGACGAAGTCAAAGATTCATGGAAATGTCACAGTTGTAATCATCATCCCATTTCTGAGCATAGAAGCCTTGGGAGAGGTAGAGGCTGAAAATGTAAACTGAAACATGAAATTAGAAATCTTGGGATCTCAACATGGAAGCCGTTTCCATCTGTTTTGATAGATGTGAAAATGGAATTCCATTCTACGAAACGAGCTCAAAGCATGGAATTGGGCTCCACTTCCCTTTCCATGCTACCAGAGGGACCTGATATTTGCTCATTCTCTTTCAGTCACTCACTTTCTCTCAGGTTGCCTTTTTTGTTTAAAGCTAAGTTGTATTTTCTTTTTGAATGATAAGTTGTATTTTAATTTTAACTAATTCCGTAATTTTGATAACTTAGTTATTTTATAAAGAGAATAAGAGAGAATAAGTCATAATCTATATAAAATTTTTTTAAAGGGCTGCTTTAAAGAGAATTCACGCTTTAGACTGGCTTTAAATGATTGTTTCTGTTTGGATTGATTCCGTGAGAAGGATTACATGTATCCTAATTTTGTGATGCTGCTTAATCACGTTAAATAGCTATTAGAATTACATTTTTGAGACATATAAATAGAGGTACAGACCTCTTGTAATCAAATGCAAAAGACACTTCTGCTTAATTATTTAATATAATACACTTAAATTTATACAATTTTAATTCATAATATATGTGCATAGACAGGATAATTTTATGTTTTATTTACTATTTCTATTTATCCACACGTTCTCTGTAATCTAATCAAATACTTTTATACACACGCATCACCTTTGCATAATGGTATGCCAAAAAAAAATAATGTAAACATCCGGTCAAAAAAAGATATGCAAACATGACATTGCATTTTCTATGATTCAACTAACCAAACGCGATATTAATAAAGACAGATATTATATGGATGACACAATTATTCTTATCTGTCAACGCATGATAGTCTAAACACAATAATGAGTCGTAGACTATACACAATTCCATTAGTCTATTCTTCTCGTCAATGTGATGGATTATGCTAATCAATAATGCTATAGTCTGCCCAATAATATGATTATTCAAATTGCCACATGGTTTGACTCCGAGGCTGTGTTTGGATGGAGGGGAAAACTAAAATAGGAGGATGAAATACTAGAAAGGGAAACTTTCAAAAATAGTCAAAAAATTTTACTAATTTTGAGAGTTTTTCCTCCTAGTATTATTTTCTCCCCATCTAAACATACAGTAAGTTCCTCAAATTTCTTAAGCATCCATTAAGTGAACACAAGAACTAATAGGTGGCTAGACTAGAAGAAGTATAAAATAAAATCAACGTGATCATATCTTGAATAATAAATATAAGGGGAAATACGTATTCAATATATGCAGGAGTCTAAGATAATCCTAAAAATAAGAGTTTAGCTGGTAAGGAAGAACAAGAAGATAGTGAAGGGAGGAAGGAAAACAAACTTCAAATTTAGAGCCCCAAATGTCGTCCAGCCTTCAATATTCTCGCGTTGCAAAATTCACTTTTCCCAAGCCTTAGCATCAGTTGGCTGAAATTATCAATATAAAATATATGGTCAAAATATGAATCATTCCGATCAAAAACAAATGGGTTAATATTATTATTGTGATTTTGAATTCAGACCAAATCTTTACAAACTTATAAGGACCAAAACCAACGATTTGAACCTACATGGATCAAAATCAAAATTCGATTAAATTATAAGAACTACCAATGTTATTAACCCAAAATAAATTCTATGGTGTTGCTGGGAAGATATATTTACATGAAATACAAAGGTATCTATATTTTGTCTTTTTCCTTCGCAGCTAACATGAGTCACGCTATAAATACCTCATCGATGGTCTCACTTCCATGCAAGCTTATTTGAAGTTTCATCTCTCAGTATTGGAACTCTAAAACAAGCATGGCTTTCTCCATTTCTTCTAAAACACTGTTCCTTCATCTCTTGATCTTTTGTTCCATTCTCATATATCTCTCTTCAGGACTCCCCACTGAAGAATCCGTTCTCCCTTCAAAAGGAGAACAAGAGTTTGGAATATTCCGACAATGGATGAAGGAGCATGGGAAAAAATACCCAAACTCTCAAACAACTGAAACCAGATACCAGATATTTCGAAAGAATCTCAAGTATATTACTGAGACGAATTCCAAGAGATCTGGCTATCGTTTGGGACTCAACAAGTTTGCTGATATGAGTGCTGGTGAGTTTAGGAAAGTGTACCTCCGTCAGCTACCGACACCGACCACCAACAACTCTGCCGCCGCCGCGAGGTCCGGTTATGTGCAGAAGAAAGATTGCGCACCACCTGCTTCTGTGGATTGGAGACAGAAAGGAGTGGTGACTTCCGTTAAAGACCAAGAGCAATGTGGTAAGTTGCTTCTGTTCAAATTAATTGGTGCAATGCAAACAATAATGATATAAAACCATCTTATTAACCAAAGAATTAACGATTATAAGAGAACAACGTTCTAGTGAGTGATTTACCCAAAAATTTTGCAGTAGTACATGAGGTGAGTTCCTATATATGTTAACCTTCCTCTTTAGCAAGGATTAAAGCATTGCGCTTACCAGAATTAAATATATCCACAACCAAATCTTTATACTTGACGCATGCATAGTACACGCATATTACTGTCATTTACATCGTACGCGTATATTAGTCAAAATTTTCTGCAGCCTCAGTGGACTAATGGATTAATATTTTTATGGTTCATAGGAAGTTGCTGGGCATTTGGAACCGTTGGAGCTATTGAATCAATAAATGCAATAAGCACAGGAAAACTTGTTTCCCTTTCAGAACAAGAACTCGTAGATTGTGACTCTGCAAGCGTTGGTTGTTCAGGTGGATATACCGAAAGTGCCTTTGAATGGGTCATAAAAAATGGGGGCATTAGTGAAGAAGCTAATTATCCTTATACAGCTCGAGATGGTGTTTGCAAAGCTAAGGTTTGTTTCCTCCCCCTCTGTCTCTCTGAAACTATAATAATGATATCTTTTATGTGTGTCTAATTTGAGGTTTCTTATATGTGTTTGTAAAGAAAAATGGAGGAAGAGTCGTGAAAATTAATAGCTATGCAAAAGTACCCAAATCAGATGCTGCTCTTTTATGTGCCACTGCTAGGCAGCCAATTACCGTGGCGTTCGATGCAAATTATCTTCAATTCTACGAGGATGTAAGTCTTTTCTCAGTCTTCATCCAATCTTTAATGCGTTTTTATTATCCTACTTTATTATTTTATTGAATTAATCTTCTGGGGCTTTCAAGTATATATAAAATCTTTCTTTAATTTTTATCTCCAGAAAGTTATGTGTACAATTCAAGCTTTTTGAAAAGTACCGCATAACGTTATGACTATGTGATATTTCTTTTAACTACCAAATATCGATCATATGGTTTTGAAATTTCTCCTAACTACTCCTTTTTTTATGTTGTCAGGGAATTTTCGATGGAGGGAATTGTAAGAGGCGTTCAACTTATGCAAACCACGCGGTTTTGATTGTTGGATATGGTTCAAAAGATGGAAAAGATTATTGGATTGTGAAGAATTCCTGGGGAGGAGACTGGGGAAAGAATGGATACTTCCTGATAGAGAGGAATAAAAATTGGCCAAATGGGGTGTGTGCTATTAATTCCTGGGCTTCCTTTCCCACCATATAGATTATAGAGACTAGAGCACTGACTAGCATATCTATAGTAAACTTCTGATTCCACGTTGTTATGAACTCATGGCCACTATAAATCTTAAATAAGAAGTCATGAATTATTACTATAGTAAAAATCTTTGCACGCACGTGGACTAGCTCCGTCCACGGACTCCTGTACCAAATTAGTGATCGTGTGAAAAACAAACTATATACTCGATTCAGTGCCTAATATATTAGTTATAATATCTCAGTTTATTTTGTTTTTCTTATTTATCATTTTTCATCAAATTAATTTATCTAATTTATAAACTTATGTAAAATTTGATGTTACATATGGTTATTTTAGAAAAACATGTCATATTTGTTATAGTTAATGGACTTACTAGTCCTAATATATATTTTCATGTTACTGCATTTTGAAACCATATAATTTAGAGAAAAATGTTTTTTTTCAAGGTAAACAAAATAAAAAGTGGATAAATTTTTAAAATTAGATATAGCAACAGAAAAGAAATTATTAATAAATTATTAATACATTATTTAACATTATTAATAAATGTTAAAAATATAATATAAAAATAAAAGATGGAGGGCATGAGGGTAAAATGAGTTTTCGCTTCATTTTCTCTTCACACATGGAGAGAAAGGTTGGAGAGAAAATAGGACAAGTCTGAAACCCTATTTTTTTCTCTCACTTTTCTTTCCTCTTTTTTTTTTTTTAACCTTCTATCCAAACAAGAAAAAACTCACTTTTCTTTCTTTTTTTCTTTCTAATTTTCTTTCCTCCCTCATTTTCTCTCAAGGAACAAAAAGCCAGATCGAGCACTGAACTGGTTTGGATATTGGTTCAGGGATCAATGAGTTAGATCAGGATCAAACTGTGGTCAGATCGATAGTAATTAAAATAATATAATTTAGTTAAAATAGGAGCAAATATTCATATTTTAATGATAACAAATAATATTCCTCCAGTCCTAAATATAGTAGCTATTTTGTAGTGTAAATTACACTACAAAATGGGTCTTATATTTAGGACTGGAGGAGTATTTAATTTTTGAATTGGTAGTCACGTTTTAAATAATTTATATATATATATATATGAATTTTTTCCCTTTCTTCTTCCCTTCTTTTCTCCCATAATCGAATAAAAATTCTTTTTTTTTGTTTGCTTTTTAATTTTCTTATTCTTTTTTTTGCTCTCTCTTTCTTCTCTCCCACGTGACCCAACTAAGAGCCTTTCTTTGTAATGCGCAAAGCAGCCTTTTCTTTTCTCTTTCTTCCTTGGACAATGAACGAGTAGAGCAATAGTAGCAGACTTGTATCTCTTTGAAGCTTGAACGCGCATCACTCTCTTCGTTTTCTATCAAACCGGTTTGTGTGTTCCTCACTTCTCATTCATCCATCTTACTCTGTCTGTTATCTTTCTCCTGCCCTTCTAATCCTCTACAAGCAAAACATGTTTGATGTTTTAGAGTGGCAAACAACAGACTTCCAAACAAAGTTTCATCTTCCTCTTTGTGATCTCCTCTGCTTCTGCCATTGCAGTGTTCATGGTCTCCAGCCGGCAAGTCATCCATGTCCGACAAACAGTAGGAACAAGAAGGAAGTGAAAAACAACAACTGGCCAACCCCACCGAAGCGAACGGTTTGCACGGTTTTTACTAGTTCATTCTGGTTTGTTTCGGTTTGATTGGAAGCCAGTTTTTAAGCTAAACAAGACCGCACATTTGGCCGATTGACTGGTTTTCTAGTTCAACTGGTTGGTCCGGTTTTTTTCCCCCTTGTTTTCTCTACACCCAAATTAGGGAAAGTCATAAATAATGAATTAAAACACAACTTGTCACTCCATCATATTTCATAGGGCAAAATAACATTCAACATCTCGATCTTATTTTTCAGTTGCATCCAACATCCTAATTTTATTTATAGTGCATCTAATGTAATATACTATAAATAAGATTATGGTGTTGGATGCAAATAGAAAGCAATATGAGAGGGTGCTTGATGTACTAGGAAAATAACATTAAGGTGTTGAATGTACCATAAATAATATTATGATACTAAATATTACTGAAAAATAACATCAGAATGCTGGATCCTACCATGTACTATTTCAATTCCACTATATTTTTAATCCACGAACACATTGTTTCATATTCCATACTATCCTAATAACTCCCAGATTACATCCGAGATTTTTGAATAATCTCATAAAAAGTCATTTAAGTGAAATTTTTTAATGCAATCAACTAGAGCAAACACATGTATTTTTTTACACACACACACTACCTCTAGTATAAGAGCTACTTAACTAATTTGAGTAATTAAGAAAATTAGTTAAGTTAGTTATTTGTAACAAATATGAGTTAATCTTCCTCCAGTACCCCTTTTAACTTTACAGAATAAATTACAAATTTGGAGAAACAAAGTGAATTGAGGTCTTATATTTATGACCAAATTTAATTCTCAATTAACTCTTATATTAAGCAGCGGAGATAGTATAACAAGTATAAAATGTCCAGAGTCTCAATGCAGCGAATTAGTTCCCGGCAAAACTTTTAGGGGGAATTACAACCAAGTCCCACAGAAGAGAAATAATTACTGAAAGGTCCCAATAACAACCCCAGCAGCCTATAATAACAAGTCCTATAGTGAGAATGATAACCTTTGGGACTTGTTTTTTAATTGTTTTCCTTGATTGGGACCTCATTGTAATTCTCCCAAAATTTTAAGCTTCTAGTTTTCATGTTTATTATCATAGCCAATCTGTTAAAATTTTGACAGATTTCAATTTATTTTATATTAAAATAATTTACTAAGTAAATCCTAGTCCGAAACCAACGAAATAGTCCACCGAGTAGTGTGAGAGTTTATTACATCTACGCGTTTGTTGTCAGGTTTTTAAGTTTCGTGACATTTGGATTCTCTTAACAAATTCTTAATTAATTCTCATTAAGTTCCCAGTTTCTAATGGTTGTATTTTATAGCACTCCTATTGTTATCATTGTGAATCTAGCTAGTTGCTCCGTTGTTGTATAGAAAAATGAAAATCTTATGTTGATTAGGGTCATGGAATAATATTATTATTACTTGCAATAATTGCATCATGAAATATCCTATAATACGATAAAAAGTATGACAAATAATTGCCTGTAAAAACGATTAGTGACTTTTAAATAATAAAATGACGTTGTTAAGTTTAAGATGATTTACCTTAATTCATTTTGCTAGTTTCGCAAATATTTTTTTCACAAACTGATCAGAACGCATCAATGGATTATGTTATTATTGATTGATTTTTTTAGCTAACCATTACAAGTTGTTTCATCTAGAATCTATGGCTTATTTGACCGGATCTTCTCCTCAAAAAACCAGTTTTAAAATCAGCCTATTATTATAATTTGAATATTAGATATTTAGATTGAGTTATTATAATTTTGAATTAATTTATGTATGTTTAAATTTTTCAAAACTTTCAGGCTTTTTAACAGGCTCCAGGCCAAGCCAGGCTTTTGTACAGGCCAGGCTTAGGCTGAACATAAGGCCTATCACACGCCACAGGCCAGGCTAAGGCCGGCAGGCTTCAACATAGGCCTAGCTTGTTAAAGGCGAAGCCTGGCCTAGCCTGCCCTATTTCCACCCCTAAATGTGGCTCTATATATTTGGGACGATGCTATAGAAGAAGAGCAATCCAAAAGCTTAATATCACCTTTAAGTCAACAATGGCTTCTCTCATCACTAGGTTGCTCCTTCTCTTTCTCTGGTATTCTCTCATTTGTCTATCTTCTGGTGCTTCTAATGATTATTCCATTTTGAACCAAGATCTTGATAAATTCAATTCTGAGAAAGAAGTCTTCCATCTATTCCAAGAGTGGAAGTAGGAGACAGAATGAGAATACAAAACCCTAAATGAGGAGGCAAAGAGATTTGAGATTTTCAAAAACAACTTGAAGCATATCAAAGAGAGAAATGCAAAAAGAAAGTCATCCACCGATTATAGTCTGGGTTTGAACAAGTTTTCAGATACGACTTACGAAGAGTTTAGCAGAATCCACTTACATGAGATGAAAGAGCCCATAATTGAAAGTAACAAAGGCAAAATGGTGTCAAACAGTGAGTACTGTCCCGATGCACCTTCTTCCTTGGATTAGAGGTTGTCTGCAGCTGTAACTTATGTTAAAGACCAAGGCTCACGTGGTAAGTTTAAATATTAACCAAGTCTCTTTTTTTTCACAACCCATATGTAAAAAGCATAATGGTAAATCAAAAATTCATTCATATATAGGTTCGTGTTGGGCGTTCTCAGCGACTGGAGCCATAGAAGGAATAACTCAAATAATCACACAAAATCTTCCATCTATTTCTGAACAACAACTCATGTCTTGTGATACGAATAACCCATGGTTGCAAAGGAGGGTGGCACTTTAGGGCATTAGAATATGTCATGAATAAGGGCATTACCACTGAAAGTGATTATCCTTATACAGCTAGCGATAGCACATGCAATTCTACACTGGTTAGTTTTTATTCTTTCCTTTGATTTCTTTGCTTGTGTCGATTGGGTAATTAAAGTCTTGTATGATCTAATTCTGGTTTAATCATCTTTTCCTTCTTATTATTTATATAATTCAGGAACAAATGACATTTGCCACTATTGATGGCCATGGTTATTGGTGGAAGACAGCTATCTCAGAAGATTCTCTCTTTTGTTATGTTTTTAAGCAACCTATTAGTGTTTCCATATATGCAAGTCCAAATTTTATGTCTTACGACAGTGTAAGTTATTAGACATATCGATCTTAATTATGACATTATCTATGCATCGAACTGATTACCCAAACTCAATCATTAAAACAAGCTACATATATGTGTGTGTGTGTGTGTGTGTGTGTGTGTGTTGCATGACCTTTAATTCGTTGTGATATATTTGACAAGTGGTTGTTTAATTTCTTAATTTTTTTGGGCAGGGAATTTTTAGTGGGGATGATTGCGTGAACATTTCATCATGTTATC